AGTTAAGGTTGTCTCAGGTGCTATTTCATCTCTATGTTACACATTGCTGAGCTCTCTGGGTCATTATTTTTCAAGCCAACAGAAGGCAATACAGCCTACTGGAGAAGACTAGGTTTAGAGTCCAGAAATTGCGAACATGGGTTCAAGTTCAACATCTAACACATACAATCTATGGACAATACAATCATGGACAAGTTCTTTGATCTCTTAGTGTCATTCTGTAAAACTCAACAAGAGCCTATATACTTGCATACAGTTTTACATCCATTAAAGAAATATGGTAAAAAAAATTTTCTCTAAAATTAAGAAATTGCAAGCAAATGCCTTTTCTGGCTTAAGTTCCTCAGTTTACCACTTAAAGTTTTATTGCTGTTAGTAATGGTAAAAATTATCTTACTTCCTGTTTCTCAAACAGTAAAACTGTGAGTTAAGCCAATGTTAATTGATTTTGCCATCTTCAGAATGTAGTAAGCTCCTTCATGGCATTACCCTGAATACTGAAAAGAATTAAACAGAAACTGTTTCTGCGCCTATGTCAGATTGCACACTGTCTTGGGGAGGGAGGTGGGGAAGGATGGGGAGAAAATTTAAAACTCAAAAGCTTATGGAAGTGATTATTGAAAATTAAAAAATTAATTTAAAAATAAAATAAAGAAATTGTCTCTGCCCTTTATAAAGTGAGAATCTAAAACTAGAGAAAAGTCTGTAAAAAAACACAAACTGAGTGCATTCACAAAAACCCTACTCTGATGTTTTACCATCTCATAGAGGTAACAACCCTGGGTTCTATTAGATTGACAGAATCACAAGCTGAACCAAGTTTTTATGAAACAAGTTTTCATGCCACAGAATGTCTAGATAGATTACTCATAACTTAAATAAACATGGACATAATGGATTCAAGTTTGGCATGCATACCATTTTCACATGCACAACAGAAAATTTCTGTTGAAAGAACAGAAATCTCAAATGAAATAGGCAAATTCATACATCTTCTAGACTCAAAATTTATTGGGTACTGTGCCAAGGCAAAAGCATAAAATTAAGTAGTCCTATCCATTTTTTTAACTGAATCTATGATTTCATTGGTCCAGGGACCTACCAGTAAGGAACTTGTATTGAGATGGTAAACTTCTTTGCGAATTTTAGCTTTAAAAAAATTGCCTAAGCACTGAGAATTTAAGTGACTTACCCACTGGAAAAGAGTCAGTACACATCAGAGGCAAAACTTAAATCCAGTTCTCCCTAATTGAAGCTAGATTTCTATCCACTACGTCACACTGCCTCTACCTCTACCCATAAAACTTGGAATTTCTTATCTTCTATTGGAATAATTTCCTTGGTTTTCATCACTTTAAATAAAAATAAACATTTCTGAAATGTTAAATAAAATGCAAGTTAAATTTATCGCAAACAAACACAAATTGTCTTTTCTGCAATTTCAACTGAAGGGGGTAAAAATTCAGGATAAGTGAAGAAACCTCATTTTGCAGCTTTGGAGAAGAATATCTCCATCTCTTAGACCTTTTCAAGACTAAAGATAACCTTTGTCTCGTTATACTTTTGACACTTTCAAAGTAAAAAATGGCTTTTGTTCCTTTAGCTAACTTAAAAGTACCACACTATTTGCAGAAACCTTAACAGAATTGCAAGTAAATAGATCTGAAGGGGGAGGGGAAAAGGAAGGATGCTAGAAAATACAAATATTCTCCATTGCTGAGGGTTAATTCATTCAAGTAGTAAAACTGCCTAGGGGCAAGAAAATGAGGCTAGGATTTATATACCTCTGGAACCCTCGCAGGTGAGTAAAATTTAATTGGCTTATCTCTCAATTTATTTTTTTTAACGTATACAGAACTTCAAATATTTCCAATTCATCCTGCTATCTCTTAAAATTCACCCTCATCACTCCCCTATTTAAAAAAAAATCAGTGGCTCTATTACATATTCAAATCTTTAGCCTGAATTTTAGGTCTATTACAAACTGACCTCAAATTGCCTTTTAAGAAATAAACTTTAAAAACAGAAAAAAAAAAGAAATAAAACTTTATTCTGAGACAGTTGACAAAGTGCAACAAATTCAGGCAAATGACACAAAGTACAATGGGTGAAAAGTTAAGGGAAACAAAATAAAAGCCAGATTGCAACCAGTATTAACTGCACCATTAGACCTTGCTAGTTTGTTTAAAGGATGATTTTTAACTTTATGAAGTTAATATCAATGCTCAAACTATTTCAGACTTAACTCCTTCTCCAGAAGAGCCTTTCAAGACTAACCATATCAAGTCCATCCATAGCTCTAAACTAGCATGTTTGCTTGCTTCTCTTGCCAATCAATTATTTCTCCCTCTTGAATATCCAAATCTTGAAATTTTCAAGTCCCAGTTCAAGTCTCACCTCATCTATGAAAAGTATTAGATCATTCCGGGCAACTTCTACAATAAATTTCTGATGAAAAGATTCTTTGAATAGTAAGTAGAAAAAGAGAAAACAAACCTTGGCAAAAATTAAAAACAAATCATAAAAGGCTACATCTGATCAGGTTCCTTCTCAGCCTTGCCTCACCTTCTCCTCACCCTCCCCGCAAAAATTACTACTAAGTCAAACTACAAAACATATACCTTTGTTCTCCAGATTAGTGTCATACATAATAATTTAGGAGAAATATTTTCAAAATTTAGGTCACATACACAAACTTATCCAAATCAACAAAAATAATCTCAATAATCTCATAATCTCAGGGGTAGACAATAAAAACTTTTCCCAAAAAAAGGTAAACTCAATGAGTTACATTGAAATAACGTATAAAAATTATTGTGGCTTAATTTTCATGTCAAGATTTTTTTCTTTGATGTTATAAGATTGTTTTCTTCGTATAGTATGAATTTTTCAAATTCAAGTATAGCAAAAGTTCCATTTTTTGAGTGATTACATACCAGAGAATTCATAGCTTGACAGGGTAGTTTCCAAAAACTTACAATTATTGTTTAAGGTTAATTATTCTAGTCTTTAAAATGCTAGTACAGACTAGACAAAAGTTGTTCCAAAAGGTTTAACCCAAGCAAACACAGGTCGGTACTATGTGTAAGGAGTTGCAAATGTATCTGGTTTTCCATTTTACAAGATGATACCTACTTTCCTCATTTTTTGAATTCATAAATCAAAATAACAGACCAACATTAAACTATTCGAACTTTACGGTTGTGAAATACTTATCCTCATGATAATACCATGAGATAGATGTTATTTTTTGTCCCCATTTTACTGATGAAAAAACAGGTTGAGAGAAATTTCAGTGATATGCTGCAGGGGGTCACCCAACTGTTAAATGACTGAAGTAGCATTCATTCTTCCAGATTCCAAGTCCAGCACTCAGAGCACTATACCATGCTGCCCTTAGGAAGAGACCAAATAAACAAATGTTCTGATTTCTCTAACCAGGGAGTATGTGGCCCAAACTGTCTTGCAAGGTAGAACACATTCATAATAAAATTCCCCACTACTGAATTCTTCTTACTAAAGCCATACCTTGCATCCAGCAATCAATTTTCTAAGGACTACAAAATATGCTTTAGTTATAAAATGTGTCACACCCAAGTATTACTATACTACACTAATAACTAAACATTAAAAGAACTGTCAAATAAGCTTAGATGTCTTTATCAGATTACTGTAATTTTTTATCCGTAACAGAAACTATAAATAAACTTGGGCATTAAACAGAAAAATAATAATCACTAAACATTAGTAATTTTTCCCCAGGCAGTTCTACTTAATTTTAGTACATATTAATGCTACCAATCTTATTTAACCCACTCATTCTTTACTGCTTTGGCTACATCCCACCACCAATCTTATTTAAATCCTACTACAAATTAAAATCCAATTAACAGATTGTTAACCTGGAGAGCAGCATATTAGGTCAGACTTAGGAAAAGCAATCACAAGTTAACAAAAATGCTAAGTTTTCCCAAAAGCATTATCTCAAACCAGATAAAAGAGCAATGAAATCTGTACTATTTATGGCACTTAATCGTTTTCTGTGACTGGAGATACAAACATTACCAAAGAAGAAAATTCACACACAAGGCCTCTCCACCACATGGCAACAAGCCTAGTGTGCTTTATGTGTCAGCTGAAATCACGACACTTGCGTTTTAAAAGTTTAAGGAAAGATTTCATTAGTGGACTGCTGATATTGGTACAAGTCGAAAATAATCAGTTAAATTTATTCTACAGCTCTGTGGCTTCCAAGTGCAGTTAGAAACAAAATTGCAAACCATCTCCCTCCCGCTTTTTTTCCCTCCTAAAAGTATCTGAATGAGCATTATGGAATAGAAGAATCACAATTTAACTTATTTCCCGGTCACTCAACCACGAAATGTTGAGAAGTTATGTTTTTCCTACACTCCAGCAAAATATATGTAAATAAAGAAGAAAAAAAAAGGTTAGAATCTGGAGTGTTACCACGTTGTTACAAGACTGAATCAAGAAACTTCGTTCACTTGACTAAACAAAACCCAAATCTCTCCAGATTAAAAAAAAAGGGAAAGGAGTAAAGAGAGCTGAGGCTCTCGCCTAGATTAGGAAGTTGTGTGGCGGCAGCAGGCCGGCTAGACCAGCCATGTTGGAAAACACTTGTCAATTACACTTCTGACAAGTGTTCGTGAACATGGTTGAAGCTAACCTTGGGAGTGCTCGGACGGACCGCGGCCTCCCGGCAGACCGCCTCGGGCAGCCTCTGCGGCCGGTGGGTTTCCGAGTTAGGTCGGACTTTGGGTCTCTCTCGCTCCCTCTCTGGGACTGTGTGGGGGGAACGAGGAGAAAAAACGGGGCGGGGAAAGGAAAGGGAGGAAAAAAATGGTTTGAGAGTTGGCCGCCGATCGGCGGCAGCGGCGGCCGGAGGGGCGGGGTACTGCGGTCGCTGACCCATTGGAGACTTCCCTGGGAGGACCGGAGAAGTCCCCGGCCCCCGGGGAGGGGTGCGGTGTGGCACTGACCTGTCCTCCGAGTCCATGCGGCTCAGGGGCTCCCCGTCCGAGGACACCTCCAGGCTGCCTCTCCTGCCCACCGAGGTAGCGCTGCTTCCGCCTCCCCCGGTCCCGTAGCCCTCGTCCCCGGCGCTGGAGACAACGCTGCTGCTGCTGCTGCTGCCGCCGCCTCCGCCACCGCCGCTGCCGCCTCCGCCGCCGACGCCGCAGCTGCCCTGGCCGCCCCGCGGTCCCTTGGGCTCTTCCAGGCCCTCCTTGCCGTCTCCATCGCCGCTGCTGCTGCTGGCCGCGCCGGGGCTGAGGGAGCGGGTCTCGTCGCTGCTGCTGCCGCTGCCCACCAGGCTCTCGGCGCTGCTCTCCTCCTCGCCGCCCCCGCTGCTGCTGCTGCTTTCGTCCTCCTCCTCCTCTTCTTCCTCGTCCTCGTCTTCCCCGGCCTGGCTGGCGCTCTCTGGGCTCGGCTCAGACATCGTCTCCGCCTCGCCCCCGCCGCCGCCGCCGCCGCCGCCGCCCCCACCCCCGCCGTCGCCGTTCAGTAGCAGCTCTGCCACTGCTTGTGCTTCTGTCTCCTCTTCTTCCTCCTCCTCATCTTCCTCTTCTTCCTCCTCCTCCCCAGAGGGCTCGGCCCGGCTCCGCGTCGCGGGTTCGGGACTGCCGGGGGGCAGAGGACTCAGGCGGGAGAGCTCCTCCAGGTCGGCCATGTCGGTGATAGCGGCGGCCATGGCGCCTCCTCCCTCCCTCTTACCCTCCCTTCCAATCGCCCAAGCCTGGGCCGACGCTGACGCCGCCCCCGACGCCGAGGCCGCGGAGCAGGAGGAGGGACTGCGAGCGGCGTCACCAGACGCGCGCGCACACACATGCGGTCGAATAGTTGCAGGATGATGGAGCGCTTGCGCGAGAGGCGGGGCGAGGGGGGGTTAGTAAGAGGGAGACGGCTTTTATTTTTCACTCCAATCCAGTATCCCATCCTCTGTGCTTCAGTCCATTTCCCTCCCAATCCATTGCGCTCCTCAAGATTCTTGTTTCATTTTCTCAAACCCAGCCCCGCTGCCCTGGCCACAGACTTGAAAAAGAGATTGGAGGGAATTGTTCTCCCAAGCACTTAGGGCACCTGTAAGCAAAGGCAGGCAAATAAACTCCAAGGTGGGTGAATGGAACTTAGAGTAAGAAGTTTACTTATGTAAAAGAACATAAGGCCTGGAATGCCTGGCTAAGAAATTTGAATTTTATTTTGTAGCAGTATGGAGCTTTGAAGTGGCTGCAGCAGGCGGGGTTGATGCTTAGAGCCGCTATGCCTTAGAAAAAATTGCTCCTGCAAGGGGTACAGTAGGATAGGTTGGATGGGGAGATGAAGAGTGGGGAAAGGGAAGGGTGATAGTCACAAAATGCAACATTTCGACTGTAACGTAATTAATACCTAAAGCAAAAAGATATGAAAAAATTCAGAGTAGACTGGAATAAACTAACAGATGAAAAGAAAATGTTCATTTGCGGGAACTGAGGCTGAAGAGATTGAGTGCCTAATTCTAGGTCCAAGTCTCTTGTTATAGCATGAAGGAACGGGTCTTGGGGAATGCTTGGAAGTAGGTGAGGGAGGAGTCAAGTGATTGCACAGTTTGGCAATGATGAGAAATACTACTAAGGGAAACAGAAAAATCACGTTTGTTTGGTAGGCAGGATGCCAGGCGTTAGGGATAAACTATTGAAAACAATTCCTACCCCCAAGGAACTTAGTCTTAAGGGAGGAGACAAATGCATAGAATGGCACTGAGCAGTTAGTTGAATGTTTCAGAAAAGATGGGTTTTTGTTGCTCCTTAAATAAAAGGAGAGGCAGAGGTCGAAGTGAAGAGGGAGTGCAGTCCAGGCATGAGATTGCCTGTTCACCAGGGAAATGAACCGAGAGACATCTTGGGGAGGATCTCATTCTCATAGGGAGCATAAGTAACTTCCAGTGAGGCTGAGAAAGGTAGTTTGGAGTGTTAAAAAAAAGCTAAAAAATTTATTTTTCTCCTCAAGGAAGTCTGATGTGGATTGAGTAGGGAAAACAGGAGGCCAAAAATCACTTTGCAATGTAAAGGATGAACTAAAGTGGGGAGAAATTCGAGGCTGAGACAAAGAGGCAGTTACAATAATCTAAACTAAGCAGGATTTAGAGAAAGGATGATAACAGCGAGAGAATAGCCTTAAGCGAAAAAAGCATCCAGATCCAGAAAGGGGAGATTAGACCTGAATAGATAAAACACTTATTAAACTATGTGCCAAGCACAGTGCTTAATTCAAGACAAAAGGAAAGCACTAGAATCTAAGAGGGTGCCCAACAATTGAATAATGACTAACAAACGAACATAATGGATTATTTTATTGTAAAAAATGACAAAAGCAAGAGATTTCATACAATCCTTGAGTATGCTCCGTTGTGGAACAGAAAGCAGAACTAGCACATTTTATACAAGGACAAAAAGCATTGTAAAGAAAAATGCTTTTGAAAAACTTCTAAGTACCCAGATAAATGCAATGTATCTAGGAGACACAATCCATGTACCCAGAAGTCAGATGATAAAGCATGTTACTGACAGAAAAGATGACAGATTCAAGGTGCAGAAAGGGACATTACATGGCCACAGTGTGGATTCAGTTTGTTTCACTAGGCTTATTTGTTACAAGTGTCTTTTTTCCTTTGTCTTTTTTTAATGGGAAGGTAGCGGGAGCGTCAGAGAGAGGTATTAGCAAGTGATGCAAAAAAAAAAGCCATTAAAACATTTTTTAACGTACAGAAAGGAACAGAAGAAAAGATCAGAAAATTTTGAAAGTAACATAGAATTTTATACTTATTTTAAAAGAGGTCTGAAATTGAGTTGCAGTTTCACAGATGCTATGTGTGTGTGTGTGTGTGTGTGGAAACCCTCTTTTTTGATGTTTAAATTCATTATAATTTTTTAATGACTGATTCCAAGAAAGTCACTGCAAGAAAGTCATATTAATAGTAATAGGATAGTAATTCTATTAACTAAAAATTAATAGTAATAAATTAGTATTAATACTTTTTAAAATTTTAAATAAAATTCATAAAAACTAATAATAGAAACAAGCTGGTTTTAATTTATCTCTAGTTAGAAAAGTACAGTTTGAACCATCTATTATATCTGTTATACCATACCCTCCTCACGTCCCCACTCTTTGATCAGTGACACTGACCTCCTTGCTGTTCCCTTGACACTCCCATCTCTGAACTCTGGGCATTTTTAATGAATGTCCCCCCATGCTTGGAATTCTGTCCCTCCTCATCTCTGCCTCCTGGTTTCTTTCAAGTCCTAGGTAAAATCCCACCTTTTCTAGAAAGCCTTTCCTGATTCCCCTTAATTCTAGGGCACTTCCTCTGGTTGATTATTTCCAGTTTATCCCACATACAAAGTATTTGTATATAATTGTTTCTATATTGTTTTCCTCATCAGGTTGTGAGATTCCTGAGAATAGGGACTGATTTACTATCTTTTACCTTTTTTTTGTATCCCAAGTATTTAGTACTTAGGCCCTTAAGAAGTGCTTATCAACAGACAAGTTTTTGGGAATCTTTTTATAGCAATCAGTTTAAGCTCAGAATACAGATTAGAGCTGACTCAGATATTTACGTGTTTTGCAATATTGAGCAAGTCACTTAACTTCTCTGAGCCCTCTCTGAGATTCTGTCTTCTCTTTCTACCACTTCAGCCCTCTTCTCCCATTGATGAATTTCTCCCAGAACCTTCAGTTTTATTTTGAGGAATGGCCAAGACCAGCCATGCTTCCTACTTCAGAGTTCTCTAGTATGCCCAAGTATCACTCTTGCAACTTCCTTCAGCACTTTTATGGATTGTCTTCCCCAGTTAGAATGGAAGCTCAAGAGGGCAGGGATTTGTCTTTTTGGATATCTGTAATTGTATCCCCAGAGCTTAGCACTGTGCCTAGCACATGATAAATGCTTAATAAATGTATGTTTCACATCAAAGGCTGGACTATCTGACATAATTAGCTCTTTTTATAAAAAACCCCACTAATTTGGATTTAAAAAATAATCATCTAAAGAAGTGATAAGGGCCTGAATTTAATAGTAGTTGTATGAGTAGAAAAAAAAAGGGATCAAATAAGAAAGATTTTGTGGAGGTAGAAATGGTAAGATCTGGCAACCAATTAGAAAAGTAGGATGAAGGGAGAGGGAGAAAATCAACATAATGCTAAAGTTACAAAACTCCAAAAACTACTGAAAGGACTCCTTTATCTGACTCCATTGTCATTCCACCTCTCCTCCCACTTAGCAATTCTTAATCAGCTCAGTGTCCTTCTGTCTCTCCTACAATTCTTTCCCAAGCCATCACCCCCAGAACAGTTTACATGCTTCTTCCTTCCCTATCTTGGCCCCTGGGTGGACCAGTTCAACTCTACACTATTTTCCCTTATCCTATCACAGATTTTGCACTTCGAAGACACAGCCTTGGATACTTCCACCATTAACTTGCCTTGCTTCCACCAGCTGATAGAAAATTGGGGAAAGTAACAAAAACCAGTTGACCACTACAAATTTATTTAATCTCAACCAGGCCTTCTTTGCAGCAAGACAATCCTTTTACATCTCTTTAATTGTTTGTCTATTCCACTTATTACACTAGCTCTTCGAAACTTCTGATCCTTCCTCAAACCTAGTGGTTCCCTCTCCCTCTCCCTTCTTATCTGAGAACCTTGCCTATTGAACATTCTACTTCTTCCTTCTTTCTCATCTCCCATCATTCCAAAGCTTTCTGCCACAATCTCCTTCACCTGTCTCCAAAGAAGAGGTGGCCATTCTTCCTTGCCAAGGCCACCTCCACTACATGCAGTGATCCCCTTCTGACTTCCACAAATTGCTCCTATCATCCCCACTCTCACTAATCTTTATCTTCTTTCCCCCTATACATTGACTGCTTCCCTGCTGCTTACAAACATTTCTAAATCTCTCCATCCTTAAAAAACCTCACTTGCACAGCCCCTCCCTTCTGGCTAAAGTTACCACTGAGCCCCAGCAGCCTTTGACTTCCTTGATTCCAACCCTCTTCTTAATACTCTCTTTTCTCTAGGTTTTTTTAACATTGATCTCTCCCAGTTATCTTCCTATCTGACCACTTCTCAGTCTCCTTTGCCATATCCTCATCCAGGTCTTAATCACTAACAGGAAGTTCCACCAAGAATCCACTTCTTCCTATATACTTCTATCCCCTAGATGATTTCATCTGCTCCCATATACTTATTTATATGTGTGTGTGTGTGTGTGTGTGTGTGTATATATATATATATATATGTATATATATATGTATGTGTTTACATACATACACACATATATGAGTCTCAGATCCAGGCTTAACCTTTTCCCTGACCTCTAGTATCAGGTCTCCAACTGCCTACTGGACATGTCTTGTAGACATTTTAAAATTCAACATGTCCAAAACTGTACTCATTATATACTTTCCCTCCCACTCCTCTCCTCTACTTCTATACTAATTTTGAGGGTACCATCATATTCTCAGTCACTTAGACTGACAACTTTGCATCATTGTCATCCTCTCCTGAGTTGCCAAGTCCTATCAATTTTGCTTTCTTAACATCTCTTCTGTATGAATCCTCCTCTTTTTCACCCCCCAGTACAGGATCCCATCACCTCCCTCCTGAACTATGGCAATAGCCTGCCATTTGGTCTCCCTGTCCCAAGTCTTTCCCCATTCCAAACCACTTTCCATTCAG